ATTTAGCCGAGTAAAACAAAATTTTTATTTAACAAATTTTCCGAATTTCCATTTTTAATAATTAACATAACATTATTAATAAAATTCAATTATAGAAAACGGACTTTTCACATTTCGGATGTTCTAGTCTGGAAAAGTAATTAAAAATACATTGTGAAACGTAACTTGCATAAAAGCCATTGTACAATAGATTTGCGAACCAGATGCATGGGATAGAAAAGGACCTATCTCTATCCTTTTTTATCCCATGCATCTAGTTCGCAAATCTATTGTGCATTGACCTTTATGCAAGTTACGTTTCACAATGCATTTTTAATTGGTTAGTTTCCATTGTCGCCAATTGTCATAATTCTCGTCAACTACCGCACCCTGCTCTAGTAAAAATTTAGTGATTTTATTGTTAAAATTAAAATTTACTATAAAGTTACTAAAATTTTTACTAGAGCAGGGTGCGGTAGTTGACGAGAATTATGACAAAAGGCGATTTGGGGGAAATGGAAACCTTTTAGAACTTGGAGTAGAACGTCCGAAATATGACATAAGGGGATTAGAATAGAGAAAGTGACGCTATCACACATGCTACATTTCGAACGTTACACTTTATATAAAGTATCTTACTACCCATCCCTGGCTACAGGAACAGAACTTAGGGTACATTTACACTTTAGTTTTGGTTAAAATAAAATTTCGTTTATAAAACGCAACTTTTACTTTCACGCGTGCGGGTTATTTTAGAAAAAAAGAGTTATTCTGTAAAAAAAAACAAAGAATTAGTACCTGAGAATCATGGCCGGACTTCCAGCAGCGAGCATGTGATCCTGAGGACTGAGTGGAGCAGTATTGGCGGGAGTGAGAGGACTGCTGGGACTCTCGTTGCTGCTAACGTAACTTCCCGGTGCATTTGGAATAGGAATCGGCGTTGTCGAGCCGTTGATCTCGGTGGTTGCACCTCCCAACAACATTTCCTGAAGCAAAACATCAATCTGTGCAACTCCAAAGAGCCTTACAAATTGAATTTGCTCAATCATTTGCCAAGAAATTGACTGAAGGGCCGGCAATGTTAATAAAATCTCTCCAAATCGTCCCCTACTGTCGTATTGACGATCACTTATGTAATCCTCCAAATTAATTTGCACCTGATAACGCAGATGTTTAATTCGTCCAGAATCGCTTAAACCTTTCGCGTCTGCATGAAGAAAAAAAAAAAGAAAACGAAATTGAAGAAAAAGTGAATCGACTGAAGTGAAGAAAAATGAAACGCATCAGCGAAATGATGATCCCATTCACAGGGGAGCATATCTCCTGGGGTTTAGGAGACATATGAAATAGTTCATATTTATTTTTGGATTGGAAAGGAGGTTTAAATTATTGGTATATATATAATATGCTTACTCGGATCGAAGAACACGATGGCCTTGAGACAAGCGAATTCCGTGTCGTCAATCTGTACCTCGTTGAATGGCTTAACCAATTCCTCCATAACTCTTATTCCCACTTTACTGATGTCAAGGTCTTGATTTCTTCCCTCTGCGGAAAATGATATTACTAAGACAACACGGTTATACCGTTCGGATTCAAAGAATCGACTGAGCCCGGTATCAGGAATTGGCAATTTGTTTCTCTTTTTTTTTTTTTTTTCTTTCTTTTCGTTTTTCTTCCCATTTCATTTCTTCGTACCTCAACACCAGATCCATAAAAAAAAGAGCATGCAGTTTTATTGACATAGAACATTAACGCCGGACTCAGTCAACTATCTACACCCCCGACATCGTGCAAAAAATTATCGTAGCAATCGCTGTTAATGAAAAAGAAAATTCCAGTTAATTATTTGCTTCTTATTTGTTTTTTTAAAATCAGTGATTGCTACGAGTTTTAAGCTTTCCGTACTGCAGCCTATGCCAGAAAAAAAAAATTCCAACCACCTCATAAAAAATATTTTAGTTTGTATTTCACATTGGTACGATTCTAAATTATCTCGAAATAGTTAATTAGATTTTAATTTTAAATATTATTTTTAATCATACCAAATGAAACACTATTTTTGTTAGACCAAAGACAAAACCTTGTGCATAATATAGGAGAGAAAGGAAATGAAATTGAGGAAGAATCAAGGCATTAGGTGTAATTTCTAGAAGTTATAACGATTGCGTAATTGAAAGTTCAAGGTTGATGTGTTCTATCTAAACATTGTGTGTATATATATATGATTCGTTCGAATATATGGGCTCTTTAATTCTTTGCGTGTATATGAGAATCGTCAGACTCTTTAATAGTGACCAAAGATAGATACAGAGATAGATGTAGAGAGAGAGAAAGCATTATGCCTCGGAGGTACCAGGAACCTTGGGTCTCGAGTGATAGTCACTTCTTCGATAATATTTGACTTTCATACACGACTTTAAATATTACAAACGTCGTCTCTTGTTAGTCAATCTTCTCGAAAGAAACGTCCCTTATGCACTCGAGAGCCACTCAAGATTCTTTTCTTTTCGAATTTGGATTTAGAAACATTTGAAACTAAAAAGTTACAACATAACATATATTTGAAGATGTGTAGAGAAAGAAATTTTTTGTTTTACAAAAAAAATTACAGAAAGTGGTCAAGAAAATGTAGCATTAAAATCAGAGGCTGAAAAAGTATGAGATAGTCAAAGACAGAAGCATAATTTTATCCTTTTCCATCTCATGTTTCATGGTTTACTAAAATTACATGGCGACGGCAACTGTGCAATTGGTAACCGTTGCCATAGAAACAGTTACTATGGTAAAGATTGTCATAGCAACGGTTGCCATGGAAACAGTTACTATGGTAAAGATTGCCATAGCAACGGTTGCCATGATAACAATTGCCATAGCAGCAGTTGCTGTGGTAACTTTTGTTATGGTAACGGAAAGAGAAATTAGGGCCACCGCACAATAGCTTCGCGAAAGTCGTTCTAACTCATGCTCAACGTTCGCGAAGGTTAAAGGCCAGAGCAGAATAGAAACGTAACCGCAACCGGAATAATGAGTTAGAGAAGGACAAATAATATATCTATCCTTTTCTAACTCATTCTTCTGGTTGCGTTTGCGGTTACGTTTCTATTCTGCTTTGGCCTTAAGCCGAGTCTACACTGGCCGACTTGAACGCCACCAATGTAAACTCAGCCTAAAGAAAATTATACTGGATAAATTGAAAAAGACAAGAACAATTGTTAAGGAAAATGTTAATAACAAAAAAAGCAATATTTAGTTAAACAAGAACAAAAAAAAATAACCTCTTTTTGGATTTTAAATCCCTTTTAACAGGAGGTGGAGGTACGAACAACAAATTCCCATTACCATATAATCATAAACAAAAAACATGTTTTGTTAGCTCTATCAATAATTGATTACCTACCAGGACAATTTTTCGTGATTATACAATTATTTCCGAGTAAAAGTACATCTTTAAGGTGCATACTGCGTCTAGCAACGCCAAGGAGAAGATGCTCTCCGGCGTGCGCCCTTAACAAGGCCACTTGATCGTCCAAGGTCAATTCAAGAAATGCCGGAATGTATTTGGCCCAGTCCACCAAATTTAAAAGTTGTTGTCGCATACTTGCACAAACGTCATTTATGTTGGCTATTTGCTTCGTACTGAGGTCAATATCGTTGCTAGGACTACTTGGCTGTTAAATTTAATTAATTTTCATTAATCTTACTCATTTTTCAAAATTCAAATCTATTTTTTAAAAAGGAGAAATATTTTTGCAAATTTTTTCTATAAGGATACATAAATTTCAGCCAATCAGGCAGTTTCTAAATCGCCTGTTTAAGCTGTGTGAATGTACCCTAAGGAAAATGTTTTTTTGCAATAATATTTATGAACGCACCTTTAAAAAAAAAAAAATAAATTTGATTCGTTATAGAGTTTTGTTTCTTTTTTCTGGGATCACTTCCCAACCCTGGTAATTTATATTTATAGAAAAGAGAGCGTGTTAGAATATAATCGCGAGAGTTATCGATTATGCGTGCAGACCGTTTGTACGGCGTGCATTTTAAAAAGCAGAGATTTCAGATTATAAATATTCAGCGTATTTTGGGGTTAAGTGAAACTGACCTCTAAAGCAGCACCGACTTGTCTGCTGAGCATTTCAGCATGTAATAAAGACACCACAGAGAGTCCACCACCATTGTTTCCCTGCTCCTCATAACTTGGTCGTCTACAACTTATTCTGTCGCGCTCGTTTTGTACAGCTAAAAATGAAAAAAAAAATATTCTATTACAGAACTAGAAAAATAAATATTATTGTTTTTTTTATGATTACTCAATTTTGAAAACCCATACAATTGTAAAACGAGCTTAACATTTTCAGATTTCAGATGTTCTACTTTATTTTTTAATTAATTAGACGTTCCAACCCTGCTTTTGTCCTTTTTGTTCGTGAAAATATCAAATTTTAAGCTATTTTGACAATGTTTTACAGTCGTCACATTTTGGGTGTTCTACTTTATTTAGTTATAAGTTTCCCAACTCTGTCAATTTTTCTTAATCGCAAAAAAATTTTTTTTTATGTTATTAATTTTTTCCTGTTAATTTTATTGATGACAATAATTAAAATCTCTATTAAAATTGAAAATTATATTTTATTTTCATATAGAATATTAATTAGATTATGTTTACATAACAGCGTTCGAACGTCGTAAACATAACACAGTCGTAGACGTTCCAACCCTGCTTTTGTCAGTGTCTAATTTTTTTTTCGATACTATTTTGTCAATGTTTTACAATCGTCGATTAATTTTATTAAATTTGCACAGCAGCAAAAACTATGCAAACTGTGAAATTTTTACAATAAAAAGTCAATTTAATGATATATTTAATTGTATTAAATATTAATTAAACATTTTCAAAACTAAACGAGACAAGGAAGTATGATTTCAGGTTATTGCGTGTTTCTAATTGGCTGGTAATATTCGCGGAAATATTACGCGCTAATCAGAAACGCGTAACATCCTGGAATCATAGTTCCTTGGCATTTCATTTTACATTTGTGAATTCTAGTTGAACCGTTACAGAAATTAGTGAAATTTGTTTTAAAAAATTGAAATCCGGCTAATTTAACGAAATTATATTGGTAATTAATTAAAGGTTTGTATAATTTTACCAAGTGAATGCTTTAATTTTGTATTATTTGTTGATTGTGTGCTTTTTTTTGCGGCATTTTTTAATCGAGAAAAAATTACTTCGACACGTGACAACAAAATTTCGTCTTTTTTTTCTTTTTTTGTCTTGCAAGAATAATTATATTTCAAAAGTGCACAAGTGAATTTATTTAGTTTAATCGCAATTTTATATGAAACGTCAAAAAGCGAGTAAAGTGAATTGATAAATAGCAAAAAATGAATAAAATATTCGAGGTTAGAATTGTTTTCTTGAAATTGAAGTTGTGAATTTTTTTTTTGGTTTTCTTTTTCAGATATTCATATGCAAATAAATTTTTTAATATTTTAATTATTCAATCAATTCAATCAGCAGAATCGGATGAATGAAAATAACATAATCGGTGATGAGTTGGGAAATCGGAGAAATTTTTTCGTATTTTTTTCTTCTACGTTGCTTTAAGGTAAGTCGAACAATTATTGTAAAAAAAAAAACATATTAGTGATAGAAAATTTTTTTTATTGAATGCCAAATTATTTATTATTTAATTTTGTATTTAATTAAAAATTATTAAATTGCGATTGCTAATTTTAAGGTTATGTTACCCAAATTAATTGTTTTTCAATATAAAAAAAAAAAAATTATCCATTCGATAAATTTGTAATTTAATCAAGTAAAAAAAAATTCTTTTGCTGTGATTTAAAAATAAAAAAACGCGAATAAAATGAAAGACAAATTTTCGATTTTTATAAAATTTCCCAAAATCTAAAATATCAAAAAAAAATTCCGATTAAAATTTTCTATTGATTTCCGGTATATATAGTTCAAAAAATTATTTATTTTCATGATTAAAAGATTTAAAAAAAAAACAAAAAAATTGTTTTGATAACTTTTTTTTTACGAATTAAAATTGAAAATTATTTTTTAAATACTGATTCAATTTTTTCTCAAATGAATATTTCATGGAATTAATAAATAATTAAAAAATAATAAAAAATAAAATAATTTTTCAATGTAATAAAATTTAATTAATTAATATAATTAAAACGATCAATACAAATGAATTTTTGTGCTTTATTAAAAAATTAACGAAAAGTGAATACTGGAAAAAAAATTTATTTGATTCAAATAATCAGTTAATTATTATCAAATAAATATTTATTTGTATTAAATAATTATTTGAGATGCTATTTGTTTCAAATACAGAAATTATTGTCAATTTATTTAGTTCAAATAAAACTTATTTGGTCCAAATAAATAATTATTTGGTAGAAATAAAATTTTATTTTCTTTAAATAAATATTTATTTGGTTAAAATAAATATTTATTTGGTTAAAATAAATATTTATTTGCTTTAAAAAAACATCTATTTGGTGGAAATAAAAATTTATTTGCTTTAAATAAAAATTTATTTGCTTTAAATAAATGTTTATTTGGTTAAAATAAATATTTATTCCAATCAAATAAATTTTTATTTAAAGCAAATAAATTTTAATTTCCACCAAATAAATATTTTTTTAAAGCAAATAAATATTTATTTCTACCAAATAAATATTTTATTAAAGCAAAAAAATAATTATATGGTGGAAATAAAAATTTATTTAAAGCTAATAAATATTTATTTTAACCAAATAAACATTTATTTAAAGCAAATAAATTTTTATTTCTATCAAATAATTATTTATTTGAACCAAATAAATATTTATTTGAAGCTAATAAATTTTAATTTCCACCAAATAATTATTTTTTTGAAGCTAATAAATATTTATTGAAAGCAAATAAATTTTTATATGGTTCAAATAACTAATTATTTGGTAGAAATAAAAATTTATTTGCTTTAAATAAATGTTTATTTGGTTAGAATAAAAATTTATTTGGTTGAAATAAATATTTATTTGCTTTAAAAAAACATCTATTTGGTGGAAATAAAAATTTATTTGCTTTAAATAAAAATTTGTTTGATTGAAATAAATATTTATTTAAAGCTAATAAAAATTTATTTGAAGCTAATAAATATTTATTTTGATAATAGTCAAATAACGGAATATTTGAATTTTTTTTCCAGTATTTTTTTTAATTGTTTTCAAAATTCTTGTATCATCTACCTAATAATAATTTTTTTGTCTTCGTACAAAGGAAACTAAAAGAAAAAAAAATACCTGTTCAAAAGATTACAATTAATAATAATTACCTTCTTTCTTCATGCCAGCTTTAAAGCACTTCCTTAATCTACAGTAACGACACTGATTTCGTTTGTCCTTGTCTACTACGCAGTTCCTGCTGAATCTGTTAAAGAAATTAATTTAATTTTTTTTTTTTACATATAAAAAGTGTCTGCACTAGTAAACGAGAGAATTATAAGAATATATTCCCAGACAATGAAACTTAAAAATAAAACTCGACCTCGCGAGTAAAATCACAGCTGTTTTGTCGTTTAATTACTATTTACAAGATGACGCTTTATAACTGAAAATGATGAATTGTTACATTCTATAAAATGATTGAGAAAAAATAATTTTCAATTAAAAAAATATTCTTCTATTTATATTATGAAATATTTCGATGACAGGAAACAGAATTTTTTTTTTTTTTTTTTAATGAATTTCTTTTATAAATCCAGTTTTGAACAGGTTTTTTTGTGTTTTTATTGTTAGAATATATAGAGAATTTAATGGTATTTGCCAATCCTTGGAAATAGTTTGCAAGTCTTTTTATAAATTTTTTTTTTTCTTTGTCGGGGGTTTTTTTTTTTTTTTTTTGGATTAGAAGTGATTTTTTTTTCTGTTTTGTTGTGCCTCGATATCGCAAGGTCTTTTAATTATTAAATTATTCAGTCGTGATCTACATTTATAGAAGCGAATAATAATTAGTTATTATTTTTCAAACCTGCATGTATAGAGGTGATTTTTTCTGACTGATCGTCGGAAAAAACCTTTACATCCATCGCAAGATGCGGCGCCATAATGTTTTCCGGTAGCCCTATCGCCACAAATTGCACAATGTTGTGATAAAACTCCCGCGACCCCAGATCCTGGAATTCCCAGGACTGATCCACCGGCCCCTCCTGTTCCCATGCTCAAATCCGCATCTAAAATTAGTCATTAAAAAAAAAAAAACCAGTTTTTAATTTTTTCTTTGCATTACTCGATGATGATGATGATGATGATGATGATGATGATGATGATGATACTTTATAGCAAAAGTTGTACATTGTTATATCATTGTTAGAAAAATTAATGGAGAATTTAATTTACAATTGTAAATAAAATTATTTTCAAGCAGTGGAAAAAAAATTTATTTGATTCAAATAAACGGTTACTTGGATAGTATAAAATAAATATTTATTTGAATTAAAAAAAATTTTATTTGAATTAAATAACTTTTTTTTTGAATTAAGTAAATATTTATTTGAATTAAATAACTATTTTTTCGAATTAAGTAAATATTTATTTGAATTAAATAACTATTTTTTTGAATTAAGTAAATATTTATTTGAATTAAATAACTATTTATTTAAATTAAAAAAATTCTTATTTGAATTAAATATTTATTTGAAATAAAATTTTTTTTATTGAATTAAATAACTATTTTTTTGAATTAAATAATAATTTATTTTTGGAGTCAAACTCCCAAAATTCACAAACCGCGAATATATATAAGTCAACATTATAAGTTAACAAACATTATTATTATTATTCATAGTTAATATGCCTTTCGGCTTTTGAACGTTATTATTATTATTATTATTATTATTATTCATAGTTCATATGCCTTTCGGCTTTTGAACGTTATTATTATTATTATTCATAGTTCATATGCCTTTCGGCTTTTGAACGTTATTATTATTATTATTATTCATAGTTCATATGCCTTTCGGCTTTTGAACGTTATTATTATTATTATTATTAAATTAAATAATAATTATTGCATTAAATAAATATTTATTTGAGTTAAATAACTTTTTATTTGAGTTAAATAACAATTTTTTTTTAATTAAATATTTATTTGTATTAAATAATTTAAAAATTTATTTTGTTTGAATCGAAACGTCGTTTTTTTTAACAATTGAAATATTTATGCAGAATATCCTGAAAAAATTAATTTAAAAAAAAATTATTTTTTTGAATTAATTATTAATGGTTTATTGAATTAAAAAAATATTTATTTGTTTTTGATTATTATATGAATTAATTAAATGTTATTTGTTTCAAATAGAGAAACTATTAGTTCAAATATAATTTATTTAATTTTAGAAAACAATTATTTAGTTGAAGTAAATATTTATTTAATAATAGTCAAGTAACCAATTATTTGAATCAAGTAATTTTTTTTTCAATGGTGAATTTTTTTCACTTATAGGGGTAAACAATAAATTAATAATAATAATAATTATAATAATAATTATTATTATTATCTATAAAGTTCTTTGTACTTTAAAAATATATTTTTTTTTAGTATTACTCTTAATACGGCTAAGAAATTTTTTTTAAGAAATTTTTAATTTGAAATAAGGAAAGTATAGTCGATAAAGTTTTCAATTTTTGGCCATTTTTTATTTTGTTTTATCAATTTAGTTGATAATAATTCGAGACCTATTAGAATGAGTTGACCATATATATAGTTGATTTTTTTCATATCTTTTGTCAAGTACAAGTTTCTTTTTTTTTTTTTTTTATCAAAGAGCGTTTGAATAATGTCAAGAATATGGAAATATACATTTAGGTCGTGGAGAAAATAGAAGAGATTAGGAAAAAAGTAATTTATACGATCAGTGATTGCTTTAGAAAAATTATTATTAAATTTTAACTATAGAAAATGTGTACTTTATTTTTAATTTAGTTTAATGAATAAATAGATTTTGATTTTGTTTTCGAAAGTAAAAATTTATTTTATGTCTTCTGCGTATTTTCATATTGGGAATAATTTCTGAAGAAAAATTTTTTTTTTCATTTTTTTGTTTTTGAAGAAGAAATAATTTTTTTTTGTTGTGTCGAAAGAGCAATTTGATTTTAATTTAAGCAGATTAAATTTTTTTTTTTTCGATTTCTTCGGAGAATTAAAAAATATCATATATCATTAAGTATTCTTAAATGCCTTTTAATTTGATGTTAGACTTTTAATATTTTTATAATTAGTAGATTTATCTTCATAGGTTTTATATACCTATTTTTTTTTTTTTTTTTTTTTTAATTTGAAAGAGAATTATTTTATATATATACGATTTAATTTCGCTTTCGTATATCCATATTTCCTTGAACTTAAAAGAAAAAAATCGGTAACTATTAGAATATTGAACAAAATTTATTATTATAATTTATTATTAATTTATAATTATAGATATTATTATATTATTAATTTAATTTGACTATGAATTTTACTTATAAATAACTGAAAATTAGTAGAAATTTTTCCAAATTTAAATTAATGAACGAATTTTTAATTCAAATTAACGAATAATTAAAT